CTGACTGCCTCCCCTTTTCTCCTTCCAATCAGTGACACTTTGGCTCTTGACCTGGCAGGACTTGAAACATCATGGAAAATCAATTTATTACTAAAAACAACAGATACCAGCCAGGTACAAATAAACACATCACAGAAATTTCAAACATATTTGTCAGCTTTCATGCTTACATCATCCTCTATACCTTCAAGTAGTACCAACAATGACACACATTCCAAAATACTATATTGACATCTGTGTCAATGCACTCGACTGTATCTGACTGATAGTGATATTTTTACTTTTGTGCTTAAATTAAGGTGTCTTAAAACATGGACCATGATAACTCCCTCCCTAGGATGGTCGTATTCTGCCAGTGCTTATTTATGTGAATTCACTAATTCCTGTACAAAGCAAAATACCATAACACCATGAAAAATCCACGTCAGATATCCCACGGTCACTGTGACATTGACACTGATATTTTCTTGGAGTTTTCCATCTAAACTGCATATTTTACACTCCTCTAGTGTGAAAATTTGATGAACTGGGAACAAGCCCTTTTCTGTTGTCTTCTGGAATTCTTATAGGAATCTTTTTGGTCATAAATACTGCTATTTTTTCTACAGTCACTGAAATGAGAAAGCAAATACATTCCTCTAGCTCAAGTTTTCTAAACTTGTAGGCATTTCTTATGTTAATCCAATTAACCTGACTTACACTGTGGTTTCTGGTTATTTGTTTGTTTTGGTTTGTTGGTTTGTTTTGTTTTTTTTTTTATTTTCACAAACATTGTTTATTTCCAGGCAATCTAATGTTTCATAATCATGACTTCCAGTAATTTTTCTTTGCTGAGGTGACTTGAGTTTTCTTTGGAGTGTGAATTTGTGCACCTATATTAATAGTTTGGTGCTCTCACCACCCATGCTGGGGAAATTCTCAATCACATGTATAATGCAGCAGGTGGGATCCATCCAGTCCTATCTAGACCTCTGTCATGTAGAAGTCTACATCTAATATAGGCTCCCTTCATACACGAGGAAGAACTAAGCATCTTTAGAGCATGAGTCATGTCATCCTAAAGTAGACGCCTGAAATAGGTCAGATGATTTGTGCCCTAAAATTGCTCCTATTTATCTATGTTAAAGAACAAGTAGTTTGTATCTTGATGTCTCCATTCTAGCAGCCTCGAGTGAAATGAGATTACTTAATAGTCTTATATCCAGGTTTATATCATGCTTCAAAATACCCTAAAAATCCTTATTTGTCAAGAAAACTGAAAATAGCATTACTTTTTTATATTTTTATATTTTTCTCCATTTGTAGAAAGCTTTTGAAAGTTTTCTGCCTCAAGACATTTTAGTAAAAATGGCGAATGCCATGCATTTCATGGGAAAGTTGTAACACTTCTCTTTTTAATAATGTAATTCTTTCACTTGTCTGTCTGCAAGGTTGGGAAATAATTTAGTTAGATACATTAAAGGTCCAGAATAAGATTCTGTACTCTCAGTGAAATTATGCAATTTGGAAGAATGAAAAAAGAAAACATAAACCAAGAAAAACCAGGCAAGCTAATTTATTTTTTAAAAAAAAGATCATTTAAAACTGAACTGGTGGCAGACTACGGGTGAAACAGTTTTATTTAAAAAAAGTCGTAATATCTAAAACTTGGCAGAGGTGTCACATTAGTGTGGTACATGTGAGGACACCATGTGCCAGGAACTCCTCAAGACATGCAGGATCCTTCTGACCAACTCTGCTCTCAAGAGTTAAAATCCTGCATAAAGCTGATGAGTAAGCTCTTGATGACTCACTGTGGCAGATGCAGTCTTTAATTCCAGGAGGGTATAAGGGAAGTGGGTGTGAATCTCGAGTAGAGGGGAGCTAGGGATGTTCCTGCCTCAGTGTCTCGGGGATAAAAGTGTAGGTTTTTAATACAGCCCCAGCTATTAGCAATGCCAAACTTCTGTAAGGAGTAAGTTTGACATTACACATCACACATACATTTTATGTGAAGCAGGGTTGGAACACCACCTACTCACAGATGGGTATAATTTTGGGGATGTCCTGCATAATTCATGTGTGGCTTTGATACTTATGAGTAATTCAGACATCAAAGCCTCAACTTAGATAACACTTTTATAACACTAAACTTCCTATAGCAAATAACCCGTGGCCTTTCATTTAAGTTCCGTAAAAAAAAGGCAACTATACCAATACTTTCTTCTTTACTGTCAGATATTTTTCACAAGGTATGCTTGTGCGAAGTACAAGCTAAAAAATACTGAAGCCTGAACTAGAGAAAAAAAATACACATAATACTCTTCACTGGGACTAGAAATGTAAATTTTAAAGCACTGGAAAGTTGCTGGGAGCCTCTTTCCCTGTTGCTTCTAGACTGAGAGCACACCAGATACCAGGCTTTTTGGTCTCTCAGCAACATTCCCTTTGCTTTGCCAGTGGCACAAACCTTCACTCTTCAGCAGTCCAATTTCCTAATAAGCAATTTTATGTTCTCTTCCAAGTTAGCCATTATGCATGAAAAAATCTCCCCATTAATAACCGTAAAGCTCCTTTATTGTTCTCCTTCAAATCTCCTTAAAACCTTCTTCTGACACCAAACACTTGTCACTGGCCAGGCCTGTTGCTTTTTATTCTCAAGGCTGTTTTTCCCTTATCCTTCCCCCATGGGTCTGTACTATACACCTGTTGTCTTTCATCATGGGTTAAGATCATAAGCTCTTTGGGCATAGACCATCTCTCTTATTACATGTGTCTACAGTATCCGACACAATGGGACTGTGAGCCCTGAATGGGGCCTCTGGGTACTGCCATGATCGAGTTGATAAAGAATAATGATTTTTGACATGGTGAGTTCTGCAGTTTTTCCCAAGTCATTCTGCAGTTGTTCATGCTGATATAAGCAGTGTGTGTGTGAGAGCACTGTCCTTAAACCTGATATACAGGGTAAATACTTTGGAACTATTTGCCAGAGAGCAATGACTTTCCTGTTTTGTTGTTAGGGGTTTTTCTGCTCTTGCATGTCAAAATGCATGGACTGACATGCAGCAACTGTTTCTTTTTGTGGGTTTGTACAGAACTAGAGTGATGTGACCCTGCTCTGAAGCTTCTACATCCCGTCCTTCAAATTGCAATAAAGACTGTCAAATAAAAGGGGGTGGCTCATGCGCCATTGGCGGGTGTCAGTTCCCTAAAGGTCCATGGGGATTCAGGACACAGCTTTTCCCTGAAGCAGTTTCCCTGCTAGATTTGGAAACTAGTCTCTCTCCCTCCCTCCTCTTGTGTTTAGTCACACTGGCAAGTGGGGGGATGCGGAAAGGCTGCACCAGTCAGATTTGGATTGCTAGCTTTTGTGGTGGGGAAGGCAAGGAGAGCTGCCCCCTCCACCGCATGCCCACTGAGCAGGAGGACATGCAGAGTCGATTATTTTTAAATTAAGCCCCTAGCAAAATTCTCCTTCTCTAGAATTCTGTTTCCAGGCTCCACCAATGACCTTCCTGAACCCCGCTACCTCAGTGGTGCACATCATCATTCACACCAGGCAATCTCTCCCCTCAGCCCCCAAGATATTAAGTTTCTTCTCCTTTTCTCCCTGCCTCTCTCCCTCCCCAACATTCCCAGAAGAGCCTGTGTTCAGGTTTTGCACTCAATTCAAGGGGCTGCCGGAGCGTCCTCTCCCTCGTGCAAGGCTCTGCATCGTGCCAGGTCCTTGAGCTCTGCTCAAGAATTCTGCAAAGGCAGGAGACCCTCTGTTCCTTTGCTGGTTAACACAGCTGTTTTCTAAGGGCAAAACCACAATAACACCAATCCTCAACATCATAAGAAAAGCAGAAATTCTCTCTCCCCTCGCCGGGTGTCTCCCGACAGTTTTAAATAACTTTTTTTTTTCGGGGGGGGGGGGCTGTTGGGGTGAAAGGAGAACACGTACTTCGCATCGCACCCCCGCTTCACCCCATGCCACCTCCTGGCCCTCTCTTCCCTTCCTCCACCGGGTTCTTAAATACTGGGGCCGAGCCCGGGCGCGGGGAGACCCGGTTCGCCCCCGGAGCGCTCCGGGCGGTGACAGGGCCCTGGCGCTTACCCGCACCGGTATCCCCGAAACTGCCCCTCCGGCAGCGCAGAGGCAGGGCGAGAGTGCTGCGGGCTGCCGGGGCCGGGGGCCAGAGTGGAGAAGGCAAGAAATGCGGCGTGGGCGATAAGGACCCCCCAGACCCAGCCCCAGCTCCCGAACTTGACGCGTCCCGCCGGAGCCGAGTTTGAAACCCCGCCTGGGAACAGCGGCAGCCCGGTTACCTGCGGCAGAGCGGGCCGGGGCCGGGGGCTGCGGTGCGGTGCGGGGCGGCCTCGCCTCCGCCTCCCCTGCGGCGGGGCCGGGCACCGGGCCGGGCTCGGGCTGGGCAGGCAGGGCGCTGCCCGCCCCGCTCCCCCCGCCAATGTCAGGGGGGACTCGGGCTATGCGGGCATCTCCCGAGGAGCCCGCTCCCCGCAGCGGGCGGGCGCGGTATATTTAGCATCGCGTCGCTTTATTCCTCCCCCAAAGTTTCGCCCACTTATTTATTTATTTGCCGGCGAGCGCCGCGCTGCCGCAGAGCGGCAAGAGCCGCTCCGCGCCGTGCCGAGCCCTGGAAGCGGCTTGGTATTGCAGCAGGTAGAGCTGAGCGCTAGGACCTCGGAGAATCCTTCCAGCAGCAATCAGGACTACCTTAAACCCAGCCCAATGCCTCTTCCTGCGCCACTCTGCGTGCTGGATGGAGATCCACAGTCAAGAGCTGCAGCTCAGTGCTGGAGTACAACATTTCACAGGGAGCCCTGCAGAAGCAACACCTGTTTCGAGCCAGCCAAGAAAGACACAAGCACTTGTATGTTGCTGCTTTGCTTGTGGATCGTCAATAATCCTAAACCAGTGGACATCTGCTGAGCCTCCTGAGAATTCTGGATAATAGATTTGGACGTCAAAAGTTTTTTTTTTCCTTTTTTCTTTTTTCCTTTTTTTTTTTTTTTGGATTTATCTCAGCCAACAACGTGAGATTTCCCCCCTCCCCCTTTGCAGGATTCATGCTGATGTATGCAGTCTGTTATAGAGTAAAAACAGCGCATGCCTTTCTGGAATCAGAATCCATAAATCCTGACGTAGCCTGTGCATCTTAAAAAAAAATCCCTATAACGCCTAGGTATTTAAGTTGCTATGATCATTCTTATCTTAAACCAAATGGAGAAACTACGGATTTTTTTTCTTTATTACAGTTGGATGGGCTGAAGACCGTATTGCTTGCTAAGAGCTGGGGATATATGCATTTATATAGATATACACATCTATATGTTTATAAATATGTCAGTGTGTGAGTATAAAGTGGTGGTTTCTTAGACTAACTGGTTTGACCTTGAACCTGTACCAGTCAAAAGAGAATATTACTTTTATTTATGCATTTAATGGATTGAAGAAAGAACATTTTCTCTGTAACTGCGCTAGGGAGGGGAGAGGAGTGGAATATACCTAATCTTATATCTCCTGGGTTTGGCACCATCATTATTGTTTATTCTCATTCTCTAAAAGCAGAATCTTCTGATGGCTCCCTTAGGTGAAGTTGGGAACTATTTCGGTGTGCAGGATGCAGTACCCTTTGGGAATGTGCCCGTTTTGCCGGTGGATAGTCCGGTTTTGTTAAGTGACCACCTGGGTCAGTCTGAGGCAGGTGGGCTACCCAGGGGGCCTGCGGTCACGGACTTGGACCATTTAAAGGGGATCCTCAGGCGGAGACAGCTATACTGCAGGACTGGATTTCATTTAGAAATCTTCCCCAATGGTACTATCCAGGGAACCAGGCAAGACCACAGCAGATTTGGTAGGTATTATCCTTAACCCTTTAGTGGTCATGTGATGAAATAATGGGGCAGAACTGCGGGCGGGGGGACGGTGGGGGGGTTCGAGGCGGGCGGGAAGGGGGGTTTGTGCTGATGACTGATCTGCCGAGGGGAAAAATGAGTTGTGTCCGGGGTTGCAGATGTACACGAGCGGCACCACCGCGGCGGAGCAGGAGCCCTCGCCGAAGTCGCCGGGTGTTTAGTAGCGATGTTTGTGTAGCCTCAAGTTCTGCTTAAGAGCAGACGCGTACTGGGAGGTGGTGGTGGCGGTGGTGGAATTTTTGTTCGGGACGTTTCTGCTGAATGATTTGATTTCGAGAGTTTAAAGGGTTTTTAATCATTAACCACGACAATTTAAAATTCACCGAGTTTCCTGGAGGGAGTGGCTCTCGTCCTATACGCAAATTGACGAGGGCTTTTCTTTCGTTTTCTCTGCCGATTACCTGCCCTAGTAACTGCCCGAACTGCACACCCAGCCTGGTTCGCTGCTCGGCGAGGATTCACCGGCAGCGCCCGCCGACCCGCAGCGGTGCTCGCCGCCCGCCCGAGCCCGCACCCGCAGCTGTGCGGCGTTGCCGGTGGCCGGCGGCCCGGGAAGGAGGGAGCGCAGGTGGGGTCCGGAACCCGCCGGGAATCCTGCGCCAAAATCTGCCTTTCCCGAGCTGTGTGGCGTGTCAGGCTGGCAGCGAATTTGAAATAGCATTCCATGGATTTCCTTTCCAGGGACGCTATTTGTGACTCAGCAGCGAGGGCTGAAGGGCTGATGGCCCCGGCCGCTCCGGAGAGCCTGTGCATGCACACACGCACACATCCACACATGCACATGCACACGCGAGTCCAGTGGGCCTGGAGCTTCTCTGCTGTCAGGGAGTCTGTTAAAGGCTTGGCAGACTGAATGCATGAAAGTAACTAAAACAGCCTGGATGAGCTGATTCTTTGGTTTTTTTCTTAAGGAGGGGTGAGGAAAATACGCCAGGTTAGCTCACCACGCTCCCAGCTGTTGGAAGGAGTTAACTTGTGAGTGAACTAACCTGACAGCACTTAAATTCGGTCGTAAAAACAAAGTCCTGTGGTGATTTTTTTCTCTCTTTGTATTTTAATGCCAGATGTTGAACGATATCTAAGCTGTATTTTATTGCTTTGTGAAGCTGTTTAGATAATGCTGGTGTTGCAGGAGATGATCTCCAAAGGGCTCAGAAGGGAAGCAGAGGGGGGGGGCGGAGGAGGAGAGGACTGAGGCTCTCGCATGGTCGCAGGTTCATCCTCCATCCCCCGGCATCCGCTGCTCCCTGATACTCTCGTGCTGCTTACGGGCTCTGCCTCCCTCCCACGCCGCCCACCCACCCGGGGTCCACGGGGGTGGGTGCAGGGCAAGGGGGAGCGTCGCGGCTATCCCCGGGGCACAACATCCACGCTTACTGGCGAGAAAAAGTGCTGAAAGTGTTTCAGGCAGCCGCGGAGTGAGGGGAATTTTGCAGCTAGGCGTTTTCCTTGGCACAGGCAGACGCCGTGCGTGGCTGCTGAGCTACCGCCGCAGGTTCCCCTAGCCCGCTGCGGTGCGGGCAGAGAGCGGCGGGCGCGGCGCTGTGTGGAGCGGCGAGGGAGGCGCGTGCGGGGCCGCAGCAGGTGTAGGGCGCTGCGCACCGGCCAGCCAGGGCGGTGTGGGGCTGGCGGCCCGCGGGGCCCCGCCCGCCCCAGAGGAGGGCCGCCAGCTGTTCCCCTTTGCAAGGCGGCGGTGACCACATTACTCGCGGCGTCTGTTTTTAAAAATGGCTATCCAGCCGCAGTTTAGGAAGCTGACAATTCCGAGGGGCAGCTCTTTCACCTCCTCGCAGCGCCGTGGCTTTAAATAGATTGGGTTTTTTGTCCTTGTCGGTTTGATCTCCCTCTCCCCCCCGCAGGACGCGCCCCAGTGACAACTCTTCTCCCATAGAGTGCGCCGGTGATGCCCCTGCTCGCTCCAGGGTCGGGTAGAGAGGGCACGGCGAACCTATAAGATGTGTTGGGGCTCCCGGCTTCTCTGGGGGGAGGGAAGAGGATCTCAGTGCTTTTGTATCGGTGCTGTGAGATTGCTGTTGTGTTTGCGGGAAGGTCACCGAATAGCAGATGCTATTTGGGTTTTGGTGATTGTAAAGTCTTGTGATGATCCTGGGGAGGTCTGCATCCCATCTCAGGAGCTGCCCGGGGGAGAGCGGGTTTACATGGTCTCCTCCGAGCGCGTGCTGGGAAACCTGCGCGCGTGTGCGTGTCAGTGTGGGGGTACGCGTCAGAAGGAAGTTTTCTTTCAGGAATAAGGCGGACAAAGAGAAAACATTAGGGGCTGCGCGTAAACTCCTCTCTGGGCTCTGCCCTGTGGGAATCCCCCTCCCCGCACACATACACACACGCACACACCTCTGGAGAGACATCAGATAAGAGTAATTCTTTTGTGATGCTATGTTGGATGTGTGCCTATTGCATACAGTAAACCGAGCCATATTGTGTGTCTATACTCGCCCGGTTCTGGGAGCCCTGGCATTTCGCAATTCCTGCAGCAAGATGTCCATCTCTGAAAGAAAAGCTCCCCGGGAGAGTCCGGCTCGGTCTCCCCCGTAATGCGATCTCAGGTGATCAAAGCCTTATCTCTCCTGGGTCACAAAAGAATTTTTTTTTTTGATGCAGTCTCCTTTAGTCTAGGGCATTGACTAGACACTAGAGTCATTGTAAATTCAGGAACTCTGTAACAGCGGAGAGGCGTGCCTCTGTGCGTCAGCACAAGTACTGCATGCACAGCATTAAAAAAATAGGAGCATGCAGGAAAAGGAAAAAAAAAAAAGCTTGTCAGCAGGTGACCTCCGCTCCTCGGGACCTGCTGCTACAAGGAACCGCTGCGTTCATCATCTGCGGGAGCCGCTCAGCCGCCCGCCCTCCCGCCTTCCCGGCCCGCCCTGCCTGCTCCGGCGCTGGGCTGGCGGGGCAGGTTCAGCGCCGGGAGGGCGCGGGGGCGGCTACGGACGGGGTCCTGCGCTTGCCCGCCTCTTCTGCTGCTGTATGCGGCGGGGCGGGCCTGCCCCCCGCCCCGGTCTGCTGGCTCTCCCCAGAGACGGCACGGGGCGGGAGGACGGCGATGCATGCGGGGAGGGCTGTGGCCCCCGGGACTGTGAAGCGTGGGCCAGGTTTTAGGGGGAGGGAAGGGCGCCGAGCGGCCTCGACAGTCTCCCCCGCTATTGAGTGTTGCAAGGGGAGGGGATGAGGGGAAGAGGGCAAGGGCGCTATAAGAGCCTGAAACTGAAGCAGGGCCCTGCTGCCTGGGGGGGCTGTGTCTGCCCCTCCCGTCTTTTAATTGGCATCATGTGGGGGAGCGGGCGGAGCGGTGACAGCTGCGACAGGCGGGACGCATCCCGACGGAGCGCTCAGCCCCGCGCCTCTCCGCGCAGCCCCGCGCCGCAGCCTCGGCCGGCGGCCGGGAGCAAGGGAGGGGGGCGCCGGAAGCTGAGGGGCTCCGGGGAAGTTCCTTCCCTCACCCCATCACCAGACTGTCCTCCCGGCGGCTTCTTAGCCACGAAGGGCTCTGCTTCCCTCGCCCCTCCCGGGGTGGGCGATCGCTGGACGCGCAGCAGCCTGGGGAGAGCAGGGTCCGGACGCTCCCTCACCCTCCCCTGCTTTTCACTTCCCTTGGAAGCCCTACAAAGAACTGGCTGGCAGAGTTTACCGTCTTCGTTGTTGTCTTCGGTGTGTTAGAGTGCTACGGGGAAACTAAATTGCTTCAACCCATCAATACAAAGAAAGCCTATATGTAGCCAAAGACAAAAATGTGCAAAGGGCAAAGCGGCAACAACAAAAAGACTGTGTAGTTGCAGAGGTGTTCATTGCTTAAAAGCCAAGGGAAATTTTTCTGTAGGCCTGTTCTTCACCAGAGCTAAGCTAGATGGAAGTTAAAATTTCACGTTTGTGAACGATCCACCCCCTCTCACCTGTGAGCCTGACAGGAGAGCATGACCAGCCTTTATGTCAGGCTGGTGTCCTGCTGCCGTTCAGCATGGTCAAAGTTGGATCATGTAGAAGAAGGTGCATGAAGGGCTGATGTGTCAGGAATAAATAACTTCCCCAAAACTTTCTTCCTAAACTTCTTGTGAAGTGGTTTCATTAAAGAAAATGCTCAGTGTCTGGTGAAAAGAAATTCAGTACCCCATGTACTGAGACAGTTATTTCCTCAAAGCTTCCCTTCCCCATTTTTAGCTATAAATAGGCCCCTAGCTTTTAAAGTTTGGAGATGCCCTGATTTCCATTTGATCCAGCCTCATTTTGAGGAGGATTATCTATTTTAATATCTGGTTCAGACCCTAAGTACTATCCATATATTATAGAAACTATACAGTGAAAATATTCACAGAACTGTAGGGGCAAATCATGAAATCCTTAAACTGACAAGGCTTCTGTAGGACTGTATGTTTCACCCCAGATAATCTCTTGAAGGGCTTAATATGGCACATAAAACTTGCTGTGAATAGGCTTTTGAATATTTCAAATGAAAAAATCTCTATTCTGACCAGAAATATGTGGATGTTCTTTGCCAAAGTACCTTAAATTCATCTTCTGCACTTACGATAGGATGTGACAGTGTTTTTTGTTCTTTTTATGCACTAAGCAGCGTGCACCCAAATATTTGAAATGAGAACAGCAATTAAAGACTACATTTAGACTGTTGTGAAAGATGCCAGACTCACTAACTTAGCTACAGTATTGTATAATACACACTTAATGTAAGATTTAACTTCAGTTAAAATTGCTTGGTAACATGTACCAAGTAACACGATATTTTGGTAAAAGCTTTATAGAAAAAACCTTAGTAAGAAATCTGGAAGTACTATATGTCCAGATATAATAGGAATGTTTAAATTGTCTCCATGGATCGATTGGATCTGAGATACTACATACACCAGATAAACAGCATGCTGCCACTTTGTATTACTTAAAAGAATCCAAAATTACTAAATATTTTTATTTGTGCATATGTAGAGAATAGTTTAAGATACTCAGGCCTTAAAACAGGATTATCAAAACAGTAAGACTATGGTGTTTGTAGTACTGAATAATATATAAGGTAATGATCAATAGTCCCTTACAGGGAATACTTTTCATCTTCACATTAGCTTGGCTATAAATTTTCCCCATTGACTTCAACTTGTGCCACGTTAGATTTGTGATTCATGCCTGTTATTGATTAGTGCACAACTATTTTGTGGGAGATGCCAAATTAATTGTTAAAAAAATCCATGAAAGTGCTTTTTTATTTGCCACATGAGGCTCAACACATACTATACCCTTATTTTATTATTTCATATACATATAGTTTCCAATGAGCTTTAAAAATAGTTATATGGTGGGCTTAGGCATGAAAATTCACAAAATATATTGAAAATGCTACTCTGTGCTTTATTTTGTGACTTAGAAAGTAACACAGCAGCATGCTTCTGAATGCTGCTGGATAACTCCTGTGAGATCATTACAATCTAAGATGAGCACTCCCAAATAGAAAGCAATTTCCATTTTTTACACAAGACTTCTAGGTTTGTGCAAGGCTTGGCTGGTAGCATCCTCATTGAAGAGGTAAGCAGTTTGCAGGGAAGGCTGCCAGAAAATCCCCAAGCCCCCAGAACCAGATGAGCCAATACTTGATACTTGCTGTACTGTGCACGTGGATGCTGAACCTGGGAGCTTTGCAGAAGCAGTGCTTCTTGGCAAAATATTATTTCTACATGCACAAATGTCTGTGTGCATGGGAAGAGTTAATCCTGTATACACTATTACTTAGGTTTAGGATATTTTAATTTTTGAATTTGAGATGAATAAATAATAACATATCAGGGAGAATTGTTACTATCTAAACAGAAATGAGTGGAAGTGGACTATACTAAGGATTTTAATTTCTCAAGCCTCTGGAAGATCACACTGTGAGTAAATCTTTCCCTGTATTCATTGATGGCTGGAAGTAGATCTTTTGGTTCCATGTGTAACATTGTTTTATCTCACAATTCTGATTAAATCGTATTTTTTCAGAATTTATTTTGCAAGACAAATTTCATTGGTTCCTCACTTCCACTAATTCGGGCACTCTAAAAACTTTTTTTTTCTCTGAATGTACTATCTGCTGTGCAAATCAGAGTATAATTGAGTTTGTGTTTGGAAATGATGAGAAAGATTAAGAGTAATCTTTTAATTTGGTACATTAATGCTGTTTGTAATTCATCATTCTAACCGGCACTCAAAGGACTTTAAATATTGTATATTTGTTTGTTCCTTATGTTCCTCCAAACAACACAGAAAATGGGAAAACAACCTTGAAAATAGCTACTTGACACTCAGGGATCAGTCACATCTGAAAAAAAAATCTTTCAATTGAAACAATATATACATTGTTTGTTTTTTTCCTGCATTTTATAGGTATACTGGAATTTATCAGTATAGCAGTGGGCTTGGTCAGCATCCGAGGGGTCGACAGTGGACTTTACCTTGGAATGAATGAGAAAGGGGAACTGTACGGCTCGGTAAGTTCCCACTAGCCTTGGGCAGTTATGATACTTGTATTCTGTGGGGGAAACACCAGCTTCTACAAGCTCCTGTTGCACTAGGTGTATATGCTGTATCAGCACTCTTTCTGCTTTAAATATCTTGCAGTCTAATTTGAAACAAGACCCTGTGGGTGACATAATGAATATGGGAGAGGGAAAAGGTGACAAAATTAGGCAAGAGTAATAATGGAGATGAATGGCAATTTAGATACAAGCAATAGAGACTGATGACCAGAGCTGGTCATTGAAGACTAAAAGATTTGTGAAGACTGTAAGATTTGTGAATGTGTCCTTTTAGTAGAAACTTAAACTGAGACGGAGTGGCTTCCTTTTGTGCGTAGGCAGAGAGCTTTCTAGGAATTGACAAAATAAGGTAGAGCGTGAGGGAAAGGGCGGCATATGTAGATGAGAAAATGAGAAACAGAAGTGTGACAAAAGTTATAAAAAGTATGGGAACGAGGGCAAGAGGCTTGGTGGTCTTGTCCTGAATGTTCCGCTGGTGCTCCCTAAGGAATGGCAGCGGGAGTGAGTAATGGATATGAGGGAGGAGTAAAACTTGGTATTTTGGACGTGGGAGTTTGCCAACCTACCTGCAGCTGATGGGTGACTGTTCTCAGCAGCATGGGCTGTCTTCCAGCAGAGGAGAGTGTGTGTGTGTGTGTGTGTGTGTTTGTTTGTGTGTGTGTGTGTGTGTGTATGTAGGATGTGACCCTTATCTGGGAATGATGTACGCTGGAGTTCACACCCTGGGTAGACTGTGGGCAGGGGGCATCTGAAATGGATCAGGTAACTCCCCAAATGGTAGAAGGCAAACTCTTCTAGCAGTAAAATGTCAACCTCTGAGGTTTACAAGGACTAGAGGAGCAGTTGTCTTTGAGGAAGAGGATGGAAGTATTGAAGGGTAAGCAAATGTCTAAAGCAAAGTGAAGCTGTGCATTCCCAGGGAGTCATTAGAAGCAGAAGAGAAGGTGACAGTGGTCGACTGATAGAGTAAATGTTGCAGAGAAACACTCAAAAAGAAGTTAAAGTGATAGAGTGTGTAGCTTTGGGTGTAGCTGAAGATAATTGTCACAGAGAGCAGCACTAACTGGGAAAAGGTGGGGGCCACAATGAGAGTGGGAGAAAACGTGAGATTTTGGTGGTGAATGGGCAGGTGGAACAGAAAGAGTAAGAGGGAAATGCAGCTTCCATGAATGTGATCCATGGAGAAGTATAGGGAAGCGAAACCAGAAAAGTCCAGCAGAAGTGTTTTTATAAGTGTGTCCAGGTTCACCGATCTCTTTCTAGTAAAGTTTTGTGTGAGCGAGGGGAAGGGAACTATCTTCTGAGCAAAGAGCAGGCTAGGGGAGGAAGCCAGAAAATACAGATAATGACAGTGTATGTGGGAGGCAGAAAAAGAGGTAGTAAAATGAGGGACAAGACTGGGATGGAGGATGTGTGGACATGGGAGAAGGTGAGATATAGAGTTGGTGAGAGCCAGTGAGTGGGAAAGGCCAAAGAAAAGGGATTTAGCGTAAATAGTAGTACAGAGGAGGTAAAGTTTGGAAGGATGGAGAGGGAGTGAGAAAGGGAATGGACACAATGACAGATGTAAACAGGTTGCCTTTGAGGAATAAGCTGTCATAAATCACAATCGTTGTGCAGTTGATGAATGTGATTAAGAACTAGCAAAGTCATGAGTACTTTTATGGTTCAGTTAGGCAGCAAAAAGGCAGAACAACAACAGTAATATGAATCAGTAATGTTGATAATCATCAGTAAGAGTAATCATTTAAACTTACAAACATAGTGAATCAGTTACTCTGCATTTCAGATATTCTGAGAAAGAAAATGTGCTTATTGATAGAGCTTAAATGCGTAGACTTGGGAAAACAAATGTTACCTTGCTTTTCTGTGTAATTTATATTTTCTATTTGCAATATGTTTGACTGTCAGAGTGAATTACTCAAAACATTCTTTGCGGAAGAAATACGCACAAGAAATTCTTTGTAAATTACTAAGCTTGCTGCATTTATAAAATAGTTGTTCCATGAACAACAGTTCTAAAGGAGTCTGCTTTCCTAGGGGTTTGTGTCTCACAGGACAAGACGTGGGTCTCCCTGACCTTCTGTCCCTGCAATAGCACAAATTCCTCAGCCTTTTGTGTTTCTTGTATGGAGAAAGAGACAGTATTAGCTGTCCATGCTCACCAGATTGTCAGTTTGCAGGGATTACATAGTTTACCACTCCCAAGTGGGATGTGCAAATGATTTCTCTTCTTTACCATGCCTCTGATTAGTTGAAAAACTGATAGGAACCTAATTTTCTTGAAGACCTTTGCCTCCTGATTGAAACTAGTTGAAAAGCCAAGGAAAGAGAGACAGGCAGGCAGATGGATGTGCAATATAATTGGATAACCTCTTTTCCCTAAGAAAGGACACTAAAAATATGAAGCCATTCATAATGGAGAACTGGCAATCTGTGAGGCTAGAATGCAAAGTTCAGGTTAAAATCTGATGGATGATATGGCTTGTTGTCAGCCTCCAGAGATGGGACATACTAAAGAGTGATGGTAATTGAATTACATTACTTCCAATGAAATATAACCTCTAATGGCTACTCAATGTGATGACGCTTTAAAGCCTTGTCAACACTAGCAATCCTAGTGCCTATATTTCAGCAACTGTCAGCTCTCTTAGAAACACTGAGATAAGCATGCCTCAGAGCAGATTTTTGTGTAGAATTGGCTGGACATTTTTAAGTGACAACGTTTCATTTTTGGGTTTGGTGAAAAAATCCACTTAATTGAAAAGTAAGTTCTCTGAGGGAATAACTATTACAGCTTGAACTAGAAGCAAGGCACAATCCAGCACAGAATTATCTCTCTGGTGAAGTAGAAGACTAGTTTAAGCAAGATTAGTTTTGAGACTGATATGTGATAGACTGCAAAAAACTTAATTCAGTTGTTCACCTGCATTAAGCAGAGCAGTCACTTGAGTGGAACTGTTCTGTTGCACCAGTAAGTTGTTCTTGTGCTGCTGCGCTGGGAGCTGGATCCCTCTGTCTTGGTTTCTTTTCTAAAGGCCATGAATAACACCAGCTTTTTCATGGAGTAGGTACACTTATGACACTGTGAATGTGTTTCCTATGGTGGGAAAACTGTTTCCCACACACAACTGAATAGCAGCCTAAGAAATACTTGGTATTGCTCCACATTAGTGTTGTGGATCTAAGTAGGTGCTTAGATCCACCACTTGTAAGGCATTCAGTACTCAACACTATTGGAACAGGTGTCCTTTGTCTATGACACTATCATATTCATATTCAAATTACTGCATGAAAAATATATTAGGTGTGAATCAAATCAGTGACCTAAAAGACTTCTATCCTTCTATGTTTGAGTTTGAAACATTTGTCACAGGAAGATTTTTCCCAGTGTATTTGTGTATGGAGATGGGACATACGGCAAAGCAGAGCAGCCAGGGTTGGTGACTGCTGCCAGTTTTCATGAAAGACAGCAGTAAAGGCAGTTTCAGCATATCTTGATCAAAACACGTTACTCTTGGCCTTCTCAGAGTTCTGCTTTTCTTCTAGATTAGCTGCCTGACAAACTCTTCCCAACGTCCCACCGTTACAGTGGGCAGTTCTGACTGCACTTTCTGGTCAGAAGGGCACAGTGACTCTTATGCTGCTCTTAGGCAGATATGTGTAACATAGTGTGGCTGTTCTCAAGTTCTTCCTCAAACCATGGATTTAGCCAGGGAAAGCTGAAGATGTATGTATGTGATACTGCAGAGAAGCCAGTGGTAGCTACATAGCAATGACTTGGAAGCTGGTTAGTGACAGCAGCTTTCCGTCTTGTCTGTCTCTGCTCTCCTTTTACCTTGTCTTTCCCTTGCAGCCTGCAGCTATGACTCATCAGGTTTTACAACAGCTACTGTGCTTGTCACTGGAGAAGAGGAAAAATACAAACTACAGACAGGACCCTAAGGGTGTTAAGAGAAGATTCAAAGACTGTTTCCTTCCCAAGTGCCAAACAACTCTTGCCAACACCTCTGACAAGAACATTAGCAAACGTGTCTTAGCTGTGCTCCTCAGGGCCATGCCATGGAGTGAGGGAGGTCTCTCTGATCAGTCCCAAGACCTTCATGCTTTTGTGGGCTGTCCCCATCGTTGTGCTGCCCTTGGGCATATTAAAAGGTGGCACCTACGTGGCAGACAGTGATGTGTACCCATGCCATGGGGTGCCTCTTGTTCCCCCTGCGGACTGTCCTCTGAGGCAGTGCTATGCTATCTCAAGCACAGCAAGACCATGGAACACCCTCACCTCGGCTGCTCTGGTAGTCCTGGGCTGTTCTGCAGTAGAGAGCTGTGCTACATCCCACTGCTGACATCCCTACCCCACCAATCTCCCAAGAACATGGACTCGCCCCACTCCTCTTCTCAGACTAGATATAAGGAAAAATATTTTTTACAATGAGAGTGGTGAGACAATAAAACAGGTTGACAAGACACATTGTGGATGCCCCATCACTAGAAACATTCAAAGTCAGGTTAGCTGGGGCTCTGAGCAACCTGATACAGTTGAAGATGTCCTTGCTCATTGCAAAGGGGTTGGACTAAATGAGCTGTAAAGGTTCCTTTCAACTCAAACCATTCTATGATTCTGTGAAATACTGGTGCCTCCATTGCTCCTTGTGTCCTTGGCAGGTGGCAAAAGACAGCTCAGGTTGGATGGTCAGGAGGAATACTGGTAGTTGGAAGATCTGGAGCAGCTATCAGGGAGCTGTGCAGAGGGAAGGAGGAAGGCAGGAGTGGAGATGGTGGACTTCTGGGGAAGGGGGAAAGAGCTAGGAGTGTATAGAAGGAGAGGCCAGGGGAGAGTAAAGAGAGAAGTTTCATGTTGCCACAGAGCAGCTGGGACAGGGCTGAAGAGCCCAGACTGGGAACCAGAGAGGGAACTACACACCTCTGGGTTTGACTTACAGGGTCTGTGC